TAGATTTTCCTAATCTGTATTATCGTTTAACTTACTGCGAAAAAACCCGATTATTAAGTTGCCGGTTTCTTTAAATTCCCAAAAGTGGTAATGGTGGTTATGAGGTCGTCTACTTCAACTCACCTGAGGTCCAAATTACCGTTCTGGAGTTAGATTAGTATAGTCCGTGGCGCGAAGCGCCGCCCACACCTTCAATTTACATGTGGAACGGCTTACTCCCAGCGGCCGCGGGAAGCAACTTTGACTACATTTTTTTCGCTTTACTCTTATTTCTAAAGATTTCCTTTCTCTCCTATCCTATTTCCCCACCCCTCAAAACTCTATAACCACCGTTTTTGCAGGAAAAAATGCTGGGACTAGGGGCATATGAGTTGGCCTACATAAGCTACTTTTGCCCTTCGCTCTTCCGGATTATTTGTTTGGACCGAAGTGGGGATTTTCTTATAGACGAAACGTAACAACTTCCCAGTTTCGATGCCCTATACAACCCCAAAACGGATGGCGCAGTAGAGAGAACGAAACAAGTAGGGACCATGTTGGCTCACGAGGCGCGTTAATCGGGTTGCGCAGAGTCTGCAAGAGGCCGCAATTACTGACGCATACAGCCGCACGCCTAGACGTGAACCTTCATGCCGCCTCAGCCATTGTCTACGATGCCATCACCGGCCCTTCTTGATTGGCTCCGAGTGTTGACTACCGCATAAGCGAGTGAAAATTGGTGAGCCTGCCAATGGATAATCCCTTCTTAAGGCCAGTCAGTGTATTTCATCTCATTACAACAACCCAAACGCGCTTGAATTTATCACGATGAAAATACCATGTCCCTTAGCACCAGTATTTAGCAATGCGGTTAGAAGAAGGACGACTAGATTCAGTCATTCACTTTGCAACCTGGGATGGGGCCAGATTTCTACGATCAAAGGGAACATTTTCAAGTCTACTAACCTGAAAACGTTACCAAAAACTTTCTTAAAAAGGAGCATACTCGTACATTTTGACACAGGAGCGATCAAAAAGTAAATGAGGAATACAAAGGAGATATGAAAAAATGGATTTAGAGGACGTATGGAGAGACAGGTAACACTGCTGCTTGACGGAATCGTCCTTTATATACCTGAGTTTCTGATGAGTGAGTCCTTTGAGATTATTGACTCGGCAATTTCATCGGCTGCCGCTGAACCACTCAGATATGCCCCCTGAACCGTGCCTAGGTAGTCGAGTCGGTAGGCATCACCAGCAAAGTACACGGAGCCTCCCTTACCGTCCTCAGCAGTGAGACTGGAACACAGCTCCGATTCTAGAAGTTGATTGAACCCTACGAGGGCCATGGCATAAGCTCCTAGGGAGAACGGATTCTCCTTCCATCTAATGAACTTCACTGCCAATGGTTTTCTTGCCACAGTGGCCTCCATTGGATACATCAATGCCAGGGCGGCTCCAACTTCCTCTTTCAGTTCCTCCGCAGTCATCTTTGAAAATACGTCT